GTCGTAGGTTTTGTTAATTTTATTAATTCTATTTCATCACCAAGAAGATCTAATTTGTAGCTAGAACATACGAATCATTTTATACTCTCACTTTCTCTCCTATATATATATATATATATATGGATACGTATGGTTATATATGTGTTTTTCCTCTATGTTCATATTGTTATTTTTTTATTTTTTTATTGGATATATTAGCTTTTAAAATGTCGTACTTGCAGTAGGTTTTGTTAATTTTGTTCTATTTCATCACCAAGAAGATTTAATTTGTAGTTAGAACAGAGTATCATTTTATACGCTCACCCTCTCTTATGTGTGTAGTTTTCTTCATACTTGTTATTTTTTGATTGGATATATTCATGCCATTATTTTTACAATTTAAAAAATAATAATAAACTATTTAATTGCATGATTAATTTCACTAATCATAAAAAAAAAAACTATTCAACTGCATGATTAAAAAAATATTCAACTATTCAAAAATAATAAGCTATTCATTAATCGCCATTGATGTGTCATGAATTTCACTAACTATGTGAATAGTTGACAATGCATTCCATTTATATTATAAATCTACGATATAGATATAAATTATTTATGTTGTGATATGAGTTTGATTTGTGCTTTTGGGTTTGGACTTTGAAAAATTATTTTGCTTGGTTGATTTTGTTTCTCTATAATTAATTTGTCAGTTTTATAAACTTATTTAGTCAAGTAATAGATTATTTAAGTTTTACTTTCACAACATAGATATAAATAATTTATATTGTGATTTAGTTTGATTTATACTTTTAGGTCAAAAAATTACCCCCAACTATAATAATAAATCACATTTAAATTTTTATAAAAAACAAATGGAGACAAACAGGTCTATTTGTGTATTCTTATCTTTTCTGTTAAAAATGGAGACCAATATGTCTATTTGTCATGGTAAGATTATTTTTTATCGACTTTTATAATATCTATATACATATACAGATCTTGATATTGATGAAGTGTTTTTTTTCAATTTCTAGGTCCATGTCTCGCGCTACATGCAAATACAGATCATTCATTCCGTTATACAAATCATATTCGAGAGTGATATGTTATGATTGTATAATATTAACAAATTACATATGATAGTATAATTCGAACAATCATATATATATATATTGACATTTTTATCTAGGTTTACTATGAATCCTACATCACAAAAGTTGATATCTTGGAATCGAAAAAATGGATTTTCAATTTCACAGTCATTGGTAATATCAAATGATAGAAGAATTCAAACACGTGATTTTTCATCTATACCAAATGTAAGAATCCTTATGAAAGTAATGAAAGTCAAACGATATCTATATAAAGAGAGAAATATGAATTTAAGTTTTTTCAAATATTTTGTAAGTTTTATATTTTCGAATATTTGGATACATTGAACAAATTGATATTGACAACCTTTGAATTGATTTGTGCAAAAGCTACTATCAAAAAGTTGAATTTCATTATTGTCACATTATTTGTCGTCACTGCATACATGATAATATTGATATTATTATGAGGTATTTTCCTTTCGATAAATAATTGCTATATACAATAATAATTAGTGATGTAATAGGTTCGAGACGGTTGGTGTTTAGATGAAATTTTACACCAAACCAATAATATCAATTCTATTATATTGAGAACTGATACAGACTAAATTTTTCACTAAATCGCACAAAACCACACAAATTCAAACGGTTCAACTTGGTGCAGCTTAATTGATTTAGGCCTTTCAAATTTGAGTTATTTTACTTCTTAAATTTGTAGTATAGTAAATAATTTATATAAAAATATTGAAATAGAATTAGAAACAAAATATAATATGAAAATCAAAGTCTTGGCACCAAAGTAAAACCAAAGTTCAAAACTATCATCCCGTAAGGCTAAATCACAAGTACAAAGTAGAGTTAAAATAAAAAATTGAAAATGACATAAATATCTACTATAGCTATATAAGCATAGTAGTAACAAAACTTGACTTAAGCACATATCAGTGGCAAATTAACAACTTATCACATTACTAATATTTATTGTTAAACCTGAAATATTTAAGAAAAAATAAATAATTATATGAATCAACTGAACTTTGTACTCAACCAATTTCATTATATATTGGCGCTGTTTGGGAACATGAGGTTTAGGCTATTATAGCCTCAATTCAAATTTCAGCCAAAAATCGTGAACAGTTCACGCGTGGTACAGCTAGGTTAGAAACGGGGGGTGGAATTACCATTTTGCCCTTTGACTATTTCGAAGGGTATGGGTTATACACACAGCTGAAACACAAGTGCCCTATTCTCATCTCTTTCGTTCCGTCTCTCACACCGACTGTAGCAACACCAGTGCACGACTGATCTCTCTCCGGCGGACCTATCTCCGACGGACCTCTGCCTTCCACAGAACACGACGGACGAAGAACTACGACAGGCAAATCACCTGAACCGATTATACATGGGTTTGTTACCTTTGTCGACTCGGTTTGAAACTTTTTCCATTCCGATCTACGACATCTTCCTCTGTTTTCGCCCATAGTGATGGTATTCAGTTGGTATTTATGCCGATCTGGTGATGATCCGTCTTTTCCCAAATATATATCGCCGACAACATTTTTTTTTTCTCGCCTTAGTTAAATGCTTTCCACAGAACCGCGAAGGTATTTTTGTGAACATTTTTTTTGTGTTGAGCTACCCAGGTTTTTTCCCCCGTGATTTCCATAATTACCATTCACGCTTGGAGTGATGTAATCGTTGCTTAGGTTTGGAATTTTTTTTTTTTTTTTCAAAACGATTTTTTCCGTAATTATCATTCACAACCCAATTTTTCCAATTTTTTCCCCAGTTTTTCCCATCTGAATGATGTAATCCTCCTTGATTTCCATTATTATCATTCACAATCCACTGTGTTTTTCCCATTTTTATCTGTCCATCTATGTTTGTGCATCATATATGAGATGGACCAAAATTTTCAATAATTTTCTGTCAAACTGTGTTTATGAGATGGAGCAAAAAAAATTTCTGTGAAGCCTATCATTTAATCTGAATTAAGGGTACAACAACATGTTGGGAATCTTCAATGCTCTGTTCATTATTTTAATTTGATTTCCTCATTTCGTCATTTCTGTTCATTATTTTACCTATTTCATCATGACTATCTTATTATCAAAATGCCTAAACCTTATTATCTTCTTGTAAAATGCATAATGAATTTGCTGGTTATAGTTCACCACCATATATCAAGATGTTAAAGTAAATAGATTCACCACCATAGTTTTGAATTTGCAAAATGCCTAAACCTTATTATCTTCTTGTAATTTTGATGAAAGTAGATTAGACTTGTGAGATATTAATTTAAGCACAAGAGCTACATGCTGTGGAAAATGCTGGTTATAGTTCCTTGTACATATTGTTTATTAATTAAGATGAATTGTTAATAGAATGATAAATATTAAGAATATTCAGTTAACGGTTTCCATTCAGTTATCAATCTCATTTTCAATACTAAGTTCACTTCTCTGAATTATGCATAATGATTTTGTACTTCCACATGTGTTAGTTCTTCTACATTGCAATGCTCTGAACTTGGTCACCTTTGCTAAATTTGCTCCAGCAAGTGGTAGGGTTAGAGAATTGGGATAACACTATTGAATTAAGTTCTTATACTAACTCAGTTTTTCCATGGACTTTCTTATATACTGGTTGCCTTATTTATTAAAAACAAGAACAAAATACTAATAATAATCAGTGGAAATTGGATCGTTATGTCTTGTTTTGAGTGTTCTATTTTGGTGTTGGCCTTGTACGCTTTACGTATTCATTTGGATGGGGGAAAAAATTTGTTATTACAATTGGTAAAGCGAAGACATGAAATTATTTTGTTTAGTGAAAACCAAGACATGAAAAAATGTGTTATTAGAATTGGTAATGCACCCATTTCCATGGCCCAGTTCATGTTCTTAGACTACATTTGTAGTTTCTAAATTATAATTTATAAATACATATATGGCAGTTGGTATCTATTGGTCGAGTGGTTTATTTAAGAGTTTGTTATTTCATATTCAAATAATTGTGAAAATACTCTATTCTATTTAATAGCTCTTCAATATAAATAACAACAACATAGGTGATATGTATTGGTTCAGTTGTTCATTTAAGAGTTAAAATGATCATGTCGGACCACGCCAAACTTTAGATGACGCATGTTTGTTGAGATAGAATCACATCAGATCAGTATTATTTATACTAAAGATGAACCTGTTTTATCTGTAAAGTGTATTCGTAAATTCTAAAAATCACTATTTTTACTAAATATTTGTTAGTAAGAAACAGCGAATGGCTTCGTCTATGTCCACTAGCACGTCAACAGGGCCACGACGCATGTGTTCTTGCGGCTATGGCCATTGTTTTGTTAAGATTTCCAAATCCCACAAAAATCCTGGTCGTGCATATTATGTTTGTCCTCGGCCTGTGGTGAGTTGTGTAAAATATGTTATTTGAATCTCCATTTATTGGCAAAATTGAACTTCATTAGCTAACCACAGTTATGTTTGTTGCTCATCAGCAATGTGTAAATTGGATTGGTTGGTGTGATGAATCAGGGAGACCGAGCCCCGACCATGACTCATCCCCAACCGAAGTCATGCAGTTACGGGCTGAGATCGTACAAATTTTTAATACCTTGCGTGTCATGAAAACGATTATTTCTGTGTTGTGCATAACGGTTATCATATTATTATTGCGCATGTAAAACGTTGTAACAACATCGCGTATGTACGTTGGATGCTTGTCTAACTAGTAACTGAAGTAACAAAACTGGACTACTGTAAATGCAACTTTCTATTTTTAGTGATGTTCTACTTTTCTCCTACATTCCAGTTTAATTTTGTATATCATATGTGCCTCTGACATGTTGTCTATTTTCCGTTTCTAATTTATTTGTGTAAAATGTGTACACTACCTTCTACCGTAATTCGTTCAATGGCGGCAACACGCTCCTCCCCTCGAACACCGTTGAAACATAAAGGTGTTGGACATTTGCCTACTGAAGGGTTGCCTGATTACATTGATCTTTCACATAAAGCAACTTGGGACAGTGTATCAACCGAAATTTTCTTAGAGTGTGTGCGGGAGCAAATTTTAGCGGGACGTAGGCTAGGTACAACTATCTCAGTTGCCGAGTATAAGGAAATTTCGGTGCAATTTGCTCAGCTCACAGGCAGACGTCATGACATGAAACAATTCAAGAACAAGTACCTTGCTTTGAAGAAAGAATGGCAGGCTTGGAATAAATTGATGGACACCAGTAAGGGTGTAACTAGGATTAGGTTCGACAGGTCAACCAGGTTGTTCACCGCGTCAGACGAATGGTGGGAAAATTTGAAATCGGTATGTATTGGAATATATATACTTGTACTTTATTGTTCAATTTATATTCGTAATTTATTTGGTTGTTTGTTACTTTGCAACTTTAATTTGGGATTCTAATTGTTATTTTTCTCATTTGCAGACAAACAAGCTAGCGTACAAATTCAAGACAAAGCCATTGGAACATGAAGATTTGATGCGGGAAGTTTTCACAGGTGCAACCGCGACTGGGAAACATCATTGGACCCCCGGCGAGCAAGTTGTGGACATTGCTGACAGTGAATCCGATTCTGCTGACTCACCTGGGTTGCAGCCATTTGCTGCGGCATATGAACCGGTTGTGGACTCACCACCACCCTCCCCCATTGTCCAGGTAGATGAAGCGGAGCAAGGGTCAAAGCGCAAGAAAGGGGCGAGTTCAAGTGGAAAGTCAAAGAAGTCGTCCACTGGCGCATCAGTGCTTGCAAACAGTTTCAACGATCTCTCCGAGGCTGTTCGTTCACAGAAGCACCTTACGATAAGGCATGGAACTGGTGCGTCTCAGAAGTATGGCATTGAGGCATGCATGCAGAGGATTATGGCTATACCCGACTTTCTCAGTACGCCTCTTTTTCACTTTGCCTGCATTGCTTTGGAGAATGCAGATTACCGTGAGATACTAATGTGCATGCCTGATGATGGTAATGTGGTCGGTTGGCTTGCGGCATTGAAGGCCTCCAAAGGACTGTGAGAACTGTGGGGATAATGGAAACAATTGTGGGTGTTTGTGGGCATGACTGGTGCTGTTTTTTTTTTTTTTTTTTTTTTTTTTTTTGCTTTTGGCTAGCTTCGCTTATCAATACTGTTAGTTAATATTAATGTTTTGGGTGAATGGATGCGGACGTAATGTCCAGCATTTTATGCAGTATTGCTTCATTGATGCGTGGTTTGTGTTGACTAAACCAGCATTCCTAACTACAATTGTTCAATTTCATTGACTACATTCCTCTTTATGGTTTCTAGGAAAATGTGGATGTATGCATAGGTGTTGCCTGTCTATTATTTTGTGCAGTAGTTTATGCAATATGATAAGACTACATGGTCAACGTAATTAATCTTGTGAAGGGTGCATTGTAGGGTTCAACACCGTTGATATGTGGAACGGTGAATGTAGCAATCTGTATCGAAATAATGATGATTACATAATCAAAACATTCAAGGATCAAGAGGACCAACAGAATGATGTAGAAACGGTTTCTCGACATTTTCATGCAGTGTTGGATGCAATGAAGTTGTTCACTGAACAGCATTGCAAGCCCACCAGAGCTCAAACTAGTAGGCATCCCAAATTGCGTTCAAGAGGCAAATACATATCGTTCAAGGTAAGAATGCTGTAATTGTCGTTAAGAACACTTGTGTACAATGTGGTGTTCAATTAAACAGTTGTGATGTGTTCTATTATGGCAGAATTGTATAGGTGCGTTGGATGGAACTCACGTAGAAGCTGTGTTGCCTGTCCGTGATGCGGGCACATATTACGGCCAAAAAGGCTATCTAACCCAAAATATACTAGCTGTGGCAGACTTCGACATGTGCTTCATTTTTATTTCTTGCGGCTGGGATGGAAGCATGCATGATAGTCGCATCTTTAAGGAAGTAATTAAAAATCAGCGTGCACCGTTTCCGCACCCACAAGAAGGTAACAAATTTCAGATTCACTACTAGTTGGGGTTCATGTCATTTGTATATAATTATTTTTTTATTTTATTTTATTTAACTATAGGTAAATATTACCTTGTGGATGTGGGATATCCAAATAAGAAAGGGTACCTGGCACCATTCAAAGGGTCTCGGTATCATCAAGCACAATTTCGAGAACATGGACAACCCGACAACCCGAGAGAGATGTTTAACGAAGCGCATGCGTCACTGAGGAGTGTAGTGGAAAGGACTTTTGGAGTGTGGAAATCTCAGTGGAAGTTCCTGCACAACATGCCAGACTATGATTTTGCGATGGTGCAAGTGCCGTTGGTCGGTGCATCAATGGCCTTACACAATTTTATTCGTAGACACGAGATAGCTGCCTTGGGCAACGACAGACATTACTTTGTTTCATCAGCCCCGGATGACATACCCGACGTTCACACTGGCGGACAAAATCTCGATGATGGGCTAATGGTTAGGGATACAGATGTGGGTATGGCAAGAGTTCGTGTTCGCATACGCGACCATTTGTTTTATATACGCAGGTTGGGACTATTGTGAATATGCTCTTTTCGATGTGGAAATTTGTTTTGGAATGTGACCCACGTAGCAAGCTTTTGGACTTATGGAACTATTTGTAATGCACAATATACAAATAGCAGTATCAGTTATGTTTGTAATGTACTTATAAATTTTATTTAACTAGATCATCCTTTAGTTTCGTTCAATTTTGCACCTATTGGATGCCTTTGACATTTGCCTCCCAGTCAAATTTCATGACAAGAATTGCATTTTTTTTTTTGAAATGTCGTTCATAATTTTTTTTGGTAATTTATTCAATTTCTGAGAAATTCAATAATTTTATAAGTTGATTTTTTTTTTATTTGTAGAAAAACATAGAAATTCATATTTAATTCTTAACAAATTTTGACAAAATGTTTTAAATTTTTTGTAAACATCAACTAAAGAAAAGAGTTCGCGGTTAAGATGAAAATATATTTCAATTTAATTTTTATTATTTATGATAATGAGACAGTACATATTAGAGTTGGAACAAAATTACTTGAAAAAAAAAATGCAAACAAAATAGTAACTTTTCCCCAAAATATTTTTATTTGGGGAAAAGTTGTTACTTGAAAAAAAAAATATTGAAAACAAAATAGTTGGAAAAGAAACATAGTTCAAAACAGAAATTGGAAAAAAATTATTGGCAAAAAAAAAATTCAAACAAATGTAATTTACACAAAATTAATTTGGAAAAAAAGTAAATTCCGAATTTTTATTTGAAAAAGAAAATTAATTGACAACTAAATAATTGTTGAAAAATATGTATTTTTCAAAAAAAAAATTTTTTTATTTTTTTGTTACCCAGATTAGTTTTTTTATTTTTTTGTTACCCAGATTAGTTTTTTTATTTTTTTGTTACCCAGATTAGTTTTTTTATTTTTTTGTTACCCAGATTAGTTTTTTTATTTTTTTGTTACCCAGATTAGTTTTTTTATTTTTTTGTTACCCAGATTATTTTTTTTTTCAATTAAAAGTAACAATCCTTTTTTTTTCAATTAAATGACAATGGGTACAGGTTTGTTTAATTTTTTTTGTCAATTAACTTTTACAATTTGATTTACAACTCAACTTTGACAAAACAACAAAGCTGACGTGCAATCCGTACGTCCACGTGAGGGATTCACCAAGCTGAGTTCAACGGCGGGAAGATTGGTTATGTAGGGGCAATTTGGTAATTTAATAACAAAACATCATATCAAACACTCTCTCCAATACAATCATTTGAAAATATTTTTATTCAACTTCCCAAACACAAAAACTAAAATAGCCTATTAAAATAGCCAAATAGCCAAAAAGCCTACTAAAATAACCACTTCCCAAACGAGGCCATTTAATACGGGAAACTTTCAGTCAGTTTCGGTTCATTTGGTGCACAAGGTGCTTAAACCGGTACCAAATCAAAAATCAAAAAAAAATTAAATACCACACAGATTGATTCATATTAAAAAATTGACCAAATATAGCTGGCTCAGTTTGGTTCAACCGGTTTAATCAGTTTTTTCGATTTTTCTTACATCCTTAATAATAATTCAAACTTAACAAGTGTTTTAATTTTTGATTAGGTACAATGTTCTCTTTTAACAAGTGTTTTCTTTTTTAATTAGACACAATGTTAACATGGTGGTCAAAGACAATGCTGGTTCAATAATCTCATTGTTCAAGATAAACGGACAGTGTTTATCTTGCGATGTCAACCAACATATTTGAAGAATATGAGATCAAATATAAAAAACTATAAAGCTTATTATAAATCACTTATTCTCTTATCTTTTCTAACACAATGTTATTTTGCAATAATTTTATAGGATAATGAAGTTAAGATGATTAAAGATTATATCGCGTCATGCCAAGACGGTGTCTGTGCATTTATCATACCTGTACCAATAATGATACGTCAAGTAGATTGTGTGCACCATTGGTAATCTTTGTCTTAAATATAAATTGGTCTGAAAAAATATCTATACTTTTTAAAATGTAACCAAAAAAAATTAATATAATACGTAAGTACACTACTAAAATTTTAACTTTTTGCGACGGTAAAATACCGTCGCTAATACTTTTAATGCCGTCTCAATTTTGCAACGGTAAATGCCTTTTTGCGACGGAAAGAGGGGGGTCGCAACTGGGGGCGTTGCAAAAGAGTTTTTGCGCACAGTGCCGTCGCTAATGTTTTGCGACGACATTTTAGCCTTTTGCGACGGCACTTTACAATCGCTAATAACGTTTAAAATTTATTGACTTTTTTGCGACGGCACTATTTTACCGTCGCTAAAAATGTTATTTGGGACGACAAAAAATGCCGTCACTAATAGTCTTTTTTTTGCAAGGGCAAGAACACTGTTTTTGCGACGGTGTGGTGCCGTCGCAAAAAGTATTAAAAATATGAAAATTTCTATTTTTTGCGACAGTGTACTACCGTCGCAAAAAGTATTAAAAAAATAATAAAATTTCTATTTAAATAATAAAATTTCTATTTTTTGCGACAGTTTAGTGCCGTCGCAAAAAGTAAAACCTGTAACAAAATCAATAAAAATATTAAAATTTTCTGTTTTTTGCGACGATGTAATGCCATCGCAAAAAAGAAAAAAACATCCTGCGATAAAATTATTAAAAATATTAAAATTTCTCCATAATATAAAACATTCTGTATAAAAATAACAATTTCTCCATAATAAATATTCTTCCATTCATAAACACATTAACAAAATTATCACACTACATAATGTTTCATAATACATATATAATGTTTAAATCCATGATTTTGTTCATAATTCAAAATAACATAAACCAAAATTAAATGTTTTTCTCATCAGTTAGCCACGTTCTTCACAGGCATGCATTCCACAAGCACTCTCCTACATGGGAAATATCTAAAAAATAAAAATAAAAATAATTAATGACAATATAATTATGTGTTAATATTTGACTGAAATTATTGTGTAAAAAATTTATGACACTTGCTACACTACCAAACAGATACGGGCATTAAAAAAAATTCAAGATCATAATAAACAAAATAATAATTTGTAAATAAAATTTTCAATCAATAGACATTTACAAGACAAAAAGTATCAAAAAAAGATTTTATAAAATATTTTACAAAAACAAAAACAAAAAAAGATCAAAATATAATAAAAAATATGATATAAGCACTTTTTCCACATTGATCACTGTTACATTGAGTCGTGATTAACATCAATTATATCCATAACTGAAGATCATTTTGATTGCAATCGAAACCACCATAATGAATCGTAATGCACATCACTTTGAAACAAAATTAAACATCATAATAGGATGTAACTATTTATTATTTATAACTAACATTAATTTACACTAAAACTTAAATATGGTATATATAATGTGTATTATAACATGACTTTAGCTAAAGGCTTCAAATAAATTGAAACTTAGTGCAGGAAAATGTTAGGACTTGGGGGGGACATTTACAAACAAATATAGTATATAAATTAATATTTTTGAAATAGATGCAGGGGCCATGGGGTCCCCATGGCCACCCCCTACATCTGTCATGCCTTTGTATCTAACGTTAAGAAAATTGAATGAGAAATCCATTTATGTACAATAAGAGGCTCAATAAGCACTTACGAAAGAAATATCAAATTAAACATCCCTCTAAGACACCAAAAGAGCCCTGGAAAAAACATTTAAAAAAATGCATAAGTAATAATTAGAGTAGGCAGGGAAAAAAGACTTTGAAATTGCAATAAAGCACCAATGCATAAGTTCAAATTACATGATCTAGCTTATACATGAACTGCATATAGAGTACAAGTGAAAAATAATGGAATGTTATTTGTCTCCACAAACAAGGCATGAAGTTCATGGGTGATATACAATGTTGAGGAAAAGGAAAGTAAAACAATTGGTCCTTCAACCAATGGGAATAAATAAAAATGTAAAATTGATTCCAGAATAAAAATATACAATGTTACAGTACAGAAAGCAAATGAGCATATGCAATGTGACCTCCTAGAACTATCTTGCTAATATAACATAATTTTTCAACAGTCTATGGCCAGATCTCAAATATTCTAGGATCACGGGTAAGGGACTAATAATCAATACGAAGAAGCTAGTGGAGCTTTAGATGCCAAATCTATGACAATGGTGTCATCATGTACAGATTATCATACAAATAAATGCCACTAATAATAAGAACTCTCAGATGTTCTCAATCAATATCTTAAACAACATTTACTCTACAAAACAAATAATAGCTCTCAATCAATATCATATGCAACATTTTCTTTACAAAACAAACAACAAATTTACATCCAACTAATTAGATTTGAAAAGGATGCAGTGAAATTTATGATAGATGGAAGTGAAAATATCAAAATTAATAAATTTTAAAATATCAAATCTCCTTAGCTTCATCCCTCTACTAAAAATAAATTTCAAATTTGCATAATGCATCAGTGCATGACACAGTATAGTAACAACAATAGTTGCAATGACAATAGCATTTATAATGATAAAAGCGACAGGAAAAACAGTACAAAGCTGAACCACAAAACAAACTTGATCCACACCTCTACATCACAATTCTTCTCCTTTGGACAAGGCTTCACCATCAAAAATCTCTGCAACAAGAGAGCTGTTAGAAACGATCAAGGGTAAAGAGATTTTAAAAACTAAAATTAAAACTTCTTAGAAGAAGAAGAAAGAAAATTCTAACAGCTACAAGCCCGAGTAATGCCTTATATTTCATTAAAGGAACTACTGTCACTATTATGGGAGAAAAAAACAATGTAATGTGTGTAAAACCAAAAGATATAGCAATTAAGAAAAAAACAGTGCAGGGTAACCATTTGAGAGATGATATGGATTCATGGCATACCTAGCGGAAAGGCTTAACTACTTTTCCTACTCATTGAATGGATATTTATGATATATGGTGACGACTTTAAAACCATAGAGACATCGCATCAATTGGTGAGTCTTATCTCAGAGCTCCTTTAGAGCCCTTA